ATTTGGTGGTAGGCAACTCTGCTGTTGTCCGGTTCAACACCACTCCTAACGTATCGGGGCCTTATGTGGTTCGCCACTCCAAGTCCCGAGGCTCAGGTTGCCGGGTTCCACCACCGAACATCAGGCTCTCGTGACTATGAGGTTCGTCTCGCATGCTGTTCATCACACTTAGGTTTGTAATTAAAAAATGACTTATGCAGGCAACTGAGTTGGTCATTGGGGTGCGGACACTGCGTTGACCGACCGTTTGGAGCGATCAGCTAGTTAGATGATGGCCGAGTCGCTTTTCAGTTTGTTGAGGCGCTGCCACTGTTCGACCATCTGTTGCAATGAAATTGTTGGGTCCTGGTTAATGGCCTGGAGACGTGTCCGGAGGTCAGCGTAACAAAGGGCCTGTTAACCACGGATGAAGACCAGGTAACGGAATCGGTCCTAGGCCAACGAGCCAAGTTGAAAACGGCCGCATGAGCATTTTAAGATTTTGTTGTTCTCAATTTTGCTGCTCACTGTCATATCGTACGTAAAATCGAGAGCGTTGATCAGTAACCAGTTTGAAGTGAATACCCAGTTCCATAATTTAATGAAGAAAATAAATTTGCCGTTGTGAAACCCGGTCAGTGGACCGCTTCAGTCACCTTACCATAGTTTACCGTCAATTTTCAGGAAAGGAAACTTTTTTAATTCAGCTACGTTCTTCTCCCTTTCCTACTTTTATCACAGATTTCATGGATCTACGCCGCGTGGTGCGCCTTTTGAACCAGTATTGTTCACCCCATTTGGCCGATACTTGGGACAATGTGGGTCTGTTGGTACAGCCTTACACACCGCCAACCGTTTCGCGTGCGTTGGTGACCAATGATCTGACGGAACCTGTGTTATCAGAGGCCGAAGAGATGGGGGCGAATCTAATTGTGTCATACCATCCTCCGATCTTTTCGCCATTGAAACGCATTACTAATTCTCACTGGAAAGAGCGTTTAGTTTCTGCCTGCCTCGAAAAGGGGATAGCCGTTTATTCTCCTCACACAGGCTTGGATGCAAAAGTAAATGGCATTAATGATTGGCTGTTGAATCCATTCGGTATGTGCTAAGCATACCTTTCAACCAAGCCTTGATATTTGCTTAGAACTTGACTGCAAAAGAACGATTTTGCCGGTTCCTTACAATAAAGAATCATTAACCAGTTTGACTTTCCCAATGTCAGAAAAATTGAATCATTTTTGTCTGAGTCTGGAGTGTACCATTTCTGCTACTGGTCTGCCAGGGTAGGCTTTACTGTTAGAATATCACTTATATGCACCTCAGCATTGATGGTCCGGTTGCCAAACTTTCCTGCCCCACAAAGTGTCTTGAGTCTGTCCTGAAGCAGGCTGCGGATGCGAAACTCTTTCCAATTGAAACTGAAAAAATCGCAGAGGTAAGTTTCTGAATCTTATTTATCTTCGAAGGTTGATAGGTTGCATGAAGGTTACGGTCGTATTGGATGCTTGAAGACACCAATGAGCCTAGCGGAAGTTTTGCAAGCCTATAAAAGCCTATTCGGTTTAAATCATCTCATACTGGCTTTAGGCTACGGAAAACGGCTCGGTGAGTTAGTTGTTTACATAGTTTATTATTTATTTTATTTCATTTCAACACGTAACCAATTACAGAGAACTGGCAAATGTGCTACAACATATTAACAGAAAGAAATTTGAAGAGTATGTTCATGGGTTGTGTAGGCATGTTACTTCCCGGTTTCCCTGACCGAGGAAGGGGGATGGCTTCGGGGTTCCCATCCGAAGCCTTTGGCTAGACAACAGGACGGAGCTCGGAGTCCGAAGTCCATTGGGGGCCGGTGTCCAGTTCACTAGATCATACGTCCTTTGGACGGGGTCAAAAGTCCAAGGTGCCCAATACACCTCGATGCCCAATTGAGTCGGTGATCACTATCGCGACCAGTAAGGTGTGCGTGTGGTTCTTACGCTTCTTGGTTGGTTTGGAATCAGGGATTTTAGCCAATTTCTTTAGATGAACTGCCAATGGTTCAACCCGGATGTCGGCTTTTCGTCCTCTCACGTCATCCGCCAGGGCTTCCTCAGCAGAGGCTATTTAAGACGCTTGGTTATTTAGGAGCATTTCGCGAGGTGTAAGGAAATGGTGACCAGTCACAATCCCAGGCACCCACACTGACCATACTAAGGCTTTCGTAGTTGAACATGTAAGATGAAAAAAATTCGCTCCTTGTTTACACAAACAAGTTTTCCGTGGCTAAATTCTCAATAGACCTAGCTAGTCATGTTCCTTGATGGATGTGGGTCGCCTCATCTTACGACTTACATAAGTGGCACCACCGTCAAGTAAGTATTGACCAGGGCATTAACTGAGGACTGAATGCGCGTAAGAACAACGTTCTGCTAGTTTAAGTCCAACAGAAGTTCAAGCGATATGTTAGAACGTTTGCAGTAGGGCATTTGGGAATAAAAACAATTGATACTGGTTTCCAACAGTCTGGTATGGAGCAGGTTTCTAAGGAATTGATAAAAAATGATGTGAATATTTCACTGGAAGAATAGGCTCCATATTTTAGAAGAGAAGATAAAAGGCCATCGGGACCAACACTGCACGTGATTTTCACGGTACGGAAAATCTCAGAAGTTTCTTCTTTCGAGACGGCCTCTACTTGAACGGCATCATCCAAAGAAAATGGCGTACTAATACCACTTGATGGAAGGATAAATGGATAAAGATAAATGCCGCAATAGCACTGTCCAAATCTGTTCTACAATCCGGAGTTTGGGATTTGGTTCCAAACAGCAATTGGATATCTTGCCAAATTCGCCTACTGTTGTTGCATTGCAGAAGCTGGGTGGTATTCGACTTCAGCTTTGAATGTAATACATGTAATGTAATGTAATACATGACAGCCACTGAGTCCTTAGATTTATACGATCGTTCCTTCTGTCTTCTAAATGATGTCAACAGTGGGATTGCTATTCTGCCGTTGCAGACAAGTTGAGTTTCAAAAGGGCAGCTTAGGTTAAACATGTGGTTAAGTGTTTCAGTAAATAAGTGGACTGCTTTGTGTGAAGAGGGATAGGAAAAAAACCACGAAGAAACGACACCAATGGAACGCTTAAGAAGAAGAGTGTTTCTTTGGGAGAGATTGCGAAGACGAATAGTGATTTGGTTGTTTCTCGTGAGTGTATTGCGAATGGGACGGGAGTATACTGTAGTATTCTGTATCATCTGAGGTGGAGTAAAAAGATGATGTGCTGTGCCTTGCCCGGTACAGTAAAGTATATATACTTTTGAGGAACGTATGTTGAATCATATATTTTAGGGATTCTGACCGAAGTCTTATTGGGAAATCTGATATAAAATAGAATGGTGGTAAGTTTAACTGCGAGAGCGCAATGAAACCGCTTGTGTGGAAGCAGGTTTGGCCGGTAAATTCATTTTCCGCACTATTAGCCTCTACAGGGTAAACGTGAATGGTCAAGGGAAAAAATAACGGTTGTCCGCATCGTTAATTTTATGAAACAGCGTCTCAGCCTGTACCCATCAACTTGTCCTTTGGTCACTGAAAGTCCACCCTGCATTCATCTTACGGTGATAAAGGCATTCAGTTCCTCATCTTACATCAAAAAGTATACTCCTGTTAGCTATTTTTAATCTTCGGGTTTCTACTTGTGACACTGGTCATGAATGACCAAATACAACTTTGAATTAGGTATGCATCAGCAGTGGTCTGCACACAAACATGAGCTTTGCATTCTAGGTATTTAGCTCGTCCTTCGACACCACGATTGTTTTGATTGTAGCATACTACATGATCACAAGGACTTCGAAGCGTACCATCCCATGGCTCTCGCACATCATCATCATCGTACAGCGAGATACAGTGAAGCGAGCTTCACTGATCGCTGCCAAGCTCACAATGTACACAAATCAAGTGATAAAGCACAAAATGGAGAGGAATTGGGCCTACTTGGAGGGAGGCAAAGAAAAAGAACCTCTAGTTTCAACACAGAGCACACAATCTAAGTGTTCATGCATACCTTTTTTCAAGCATTCTGCCTTGTCAAGAAATGACAACAAGAACGCCACTGCTGTCGGTTAGTCGCCATATCCTTCAATGTCTCCAACCACCCAGTTAGAGAGTCTTTCGGACACCAACCTGGAAGACGGGAGACACCGATTCCACCTAATCGCTCTGTGCATTTCTTCATGCCTCGCTTCCACGTCATCTG